TTGTGTGCCAACAAACCCCAGAGAAATCACAACAGCTAGGCAGGAAATTATAGTTAGGTATATTAGGCATTTATTAAATTCCACGGTTTTAGGTGACCTTCGAAACCAGACTCAAGGGCATTTTTAGTCGTAGCAACCGAATGCTTTAACAGTGGTGTATGTCAAGGACCAATCATGTTATCTTTGCGTTAGAATACCCCACAGCAAAGAGAATCATATTTTACCCACGTTGGCCAAAAACTATTGTTCTAGAAGTTCTCTATATCAGATCTATCTTGAATATTTAACTGAAGTGTTTCCAACACATTTTATATGCATTTGTTTTTGCAGTTTCTCTCAGGCCCTACAGGTCGCCTTTTGCTTTATATCCATATAACTACAGACAAATTTGACATATCAGCAACAGCATTTCCATGTGATGGATTAAATACTGAAATTCACCTGCATTAACTTATCATACAATTGACTTCGTGCTACTTCTATCTTAATGTGATTTGTTTTAATACGTTAATCACTGGCCTTCGGTGTATGATTTTGTTTGATGAATTAATTTCATTTGATGCAAGAGGTTTCAACATCCAGCCCAGAGTTCAGTTCTGCCACCACCTGTCTGAAGGTCAATTCTCTAGTCCTCAAATACCCTGCGTTTAAGAATTATCACCAGCAGAGGGAGAACAATAACAAAAATACTAATATATTAATTGATATCATTTATATCAATGAGTGAGCTCCTTCATGCCAATGACATTAGCTGCTAAAGCGCAAACACATATTTCCTTTGATTATTTCATACCATTGTTTTCTATGTACATAATCTATTTGTTTACATTGTTAGATACATGAGTATAATCTGCAACCACTGCTGCAATTATGTCAAACTGTGTAACGATCTTTTCTGTAACTTTTAGATGTTTACTTTTAGATGTATTTAACAACGCACCACCTTTGTTGTTAATAGTTTTATATCAGTGATTTATTTGATTTCACTTGGTAATTTTCCCTTGATGGGCAGTTAACTCTGACTCATGGCACGCTAAATTCAATTTTTAATGTGCTAAAACATAGGTATACTAAATTTCCCTTCTTCGACTCATAATTGGGGGGCTTCTTATTTATTAAAGTAAAACAATTAGGAAAAATACAGGTGCACCATTTGTCTGGCTCCTGCTTGGAAAAAACATTGAACACACAGTTTAAATACGTTTGGTGACATTAACCCTGTGTTGACCCTAACCCCATCAGTACTTTCTCTACTCTGTAGACACACTTGACTTTACAAACAAACAACTTTTACTACATAATCTACTGCCATTTTCTTATCTACCTTGGACTTGTACCCAAATATGCAGCACATGTTAGTGCGTGGATTTGACTTGGTGTGAGACACACTGCGCTGTGCGCTGAGTGTACCTGCAGTGACGGCAGCGGAGCAGACAAAAACAGGGGGACAGCTGGGCTTTTACAATGACAGCCAAAGCGCCGCAGCTCAGTGCAGCATCAGTCTTTACGCAGCCTGGCGTCACTCAGTCTGCACCCTCAGATAGGCTAATTACCTAATGCTTTATCACCAGGACGCCCCCTTCCCTCAAAAGTAAACACGCCAGCTTCCTTTACTACCGCTGCAACGGCTCATTTTTGCCGTTACCAAAATCCGGCTGATGCGCCAACCTTCCTAACCCTGACTGACTGTTCAAACATAGTAACGATAATAATACAGGAGCAGGAAGTTTGCGTCCACAATCATAGCTGTCATTCTTTGGATACATATCACACAAAAAAACACCGAAAAATGTGTGAAAATGTAAATAGATTATTGTTTTTTCTTCCATTTCTGTTATTTAAACCTACATTTTGTTTAAACTACTGTAATTTAAATAATACACCAACCCAATCTTACGATGAGTGTTGATTACAACGTCAGCAGTTTTATAGTAAAACTCTGGCCAATGATGCGTCTGGCAAATTTATTTAAATACGGTAACTTTAGGATAAATAAATAATTCACAGAGATTAAGAAATAAACTTTTTGTGATGTGAAAAGCTTGCCAACTTGCTCACCTTAGTTGTGATGACAAGTGCACCGTAACCAGTCCAGTGCTGTGCTTGAGAAATGCCCCCTGTCTGCGGGTCAGTCCAGCCAAAGGTGCTTGTCTGTGTGCATGTATATGAGGATAGTGTCTGCATGCGTGTGTTGACGTTCAAACGTCAAGACTGCTTTCACGGTGTCTTTATCCTGTTTCAAATTTCAAAATAAGAGGGAAGTAACGTTGACAACATCTGGGTGTTCAACAGTCGTACCGATTTATAAGTAAGATGATACATGGTCTTTAATAGGCTTATTTGTTGTGAGCATAGAGAGGTTGCATTTTCTACCTACTTGTACCTAAAAGTGTTCATGTACCAACTTAGAGAACCAAAATATTTGTTCTCTCTCCCAAGAAGTCATTTTTCACAACCTTGGTATTAGTTTTCATGTGTACTAGACACTGAACTATTTCTGAACTTTTGGTGATATTCCGTGCATGTTGTATAGAAGAATGTTTATAAATATTTGGACTATAACAAATAATTACTTTCTCACTGTTACGGTTTTTATACATATGGTTATTATTATTATTATTTTATTGGCAGGAATTGCATTTTTAAAATTACATGTTAACTACCTTCCTATAACCTTTAAAAGTAACCGAGAGGATTATTTATATGATTGCGTTAGTTTTTGTGTTAGGAAATGTAACCAAAAGGAAAGTTTAGGTATTACGACGACGTTATCGTTCATTTTATTTTGAAAATACAGTCCTCTCCTCTTCCTTTGCCTTCTTGCTCCTCTGCAGGTTTGTTTACGCAGGTCTGTAAAGCCCGGAGCCTCTTCTCCTCCTGCAGCCTCTGCTCAGCGCCACTCAGCCTCGCCGGCGTCAGTTTGGCTGGAACCGCAGCACATGCTGGCGAGATCACTACGCCGATACTCCCGGAACTTTTTTGAAGATTTCGGGGGTTTAAAATGCAGCTGCGTGGATGCGCGTGTGCCCGTCACCTGAGCGGGGAACCAGTTATATCCAGAGTCAAATGGCTTAAATTGGCTCTTACTAAAAGATAACAGGTTTTTCCAAGATATTTGGCCAGAAACGAATCGTTTTATATATATATATATATATAAATTAAACATTGGCTTGTTGTGCTTCTTGATACTTTACCACTTTCAAAGTAATTAATAGATGTCTGTATTTCATCTTTAATTGTAATATGAACGACACATCTGCTCTGCTTCTTTAAGTTATAGGTGGAATAACACACACACAGGTCTTTACCAATGCGGATGGATACAAGTCTTCATCGGGAGTGTGCTGTCTGGTCCAGTTAATGACGCAAGCCCGGCTGGCGACAGTGAGTCTACAAGTTTGACATTTTCACAGTTTACAGCAACTGCTGCGGAACGTAACAATACTCCGGAACACTGAGTGAAACCACTCTGGGGATCGTGACTATAACCTTATGATATTCTCTTTTCACCCAGCGGCAGGGTGATCATAAAAATGCACCACTCAGGAATGATGCTGATGTGGGATGAATAGGTGATGGAAGAGGATGATGGTGGAGACACTGGTCCCCTAGGGGCTAGATCATGAGACAATGTAGACTTTTTTTTTTCTCGTTGTCTTATTCATTTAAAACCTCATCCAATAATGTTTGATTCATCGGCTCGTTTTCATACCTTTCCTTCAAGTCACCTGCTGTTGAGAAATAGGTTTATCTTTATACTCGCTTTCCCACAATGTGGCATAAATAATTAACATTTTTATATCCATTAATCCACAATTGCTTGACAAACATTTCAACAAACTTTTTTCCCCCCTAACAAACGAGTGAGATGATGATTCATCCACAGTGTTTGTCTTGTCTGGTGACAGAGGACTGAGACAGACAGAGGACAAACAGGATGCTCTTCCTTGTGTCTCCAGGAGGTCTCAGAAACATCCGATTCACAACCCACAAACTGTAAACCCCGGGCGAACAGCCTCACACAAACAACTTCGTTTACATCCAGGGCTGTAGAATTTACAGTACGCTTTATGAGGTGAAGGGCTCAGAAGGAGATGATTCAAAAGAAATCATGAATCGGACACAGGGGATGACGACAGAATGAGGAGTTTAGAATTCTTTGGTCTTCTTCATGTTAACAGAAGAAAAACATGTTATAATGCAAAAAATCCCCAAGCCTTTATATTTATATACTGGACCTGAAGGTTTGAACAAAGTAAAATTATTTCACTTAAACCTCTTAAGGTTCTAAAGGTTCTAGGTTCAACATTCTCTCTGTTAATATTGTAATAATTATGCTTAATAATTAAGCAGAGTGAGAGATTATTTATCCAGTTGTGGGCTTGAAAATTGATTAATTGATTTCCACTGTTTGCTGTCAAGGCCTGCGACCCTGCAGTTACTTGTTTAGGTTGTGTTTTGCCCTACACTGGTATGCAACGGAATCATTCTATGGATAAGGAAAACATTAAACATTACAACAAGTGACGATAGACCATTCAATGCACACATCATTGGAATTATTTTTATTTTCAGTCATTTATGTGAAGAAAATACCACCAATTATTAAATCTCAAACAACAGCATTGTGTCTGCCTGTCAGAGTGCAGTAATTACCAGATCTTCATGTACGACACACTTCAGTCACTTCAAACTGGCTGGCAACAAAGTAAACATTGAGTAACTTAACAGAGGAATCATTCAAACAGACATTCTGTGAGTCACGCCAACAGAATTGCGTGCGTGTGTGTATCTGTAACGATGACCATCACAAGCCAGTATCTAAATAAAAAGACAAGGCAGGACCATGTGGAATTAACAAACCGTGCTCTAACACGTCCTCTTCTCCTGTGATTGTTGAAGAGGAAAAGAACAAGGCTGTATATTTCTTTTGTTGTTGTTGGTTACAGTACATGATAGGCACAGTTGTTTGATCCCACCTCACACAAAGGTTTGAGGGCCCTATCATTGGCTGTCTCAGGGATACTAGGTTCATCCTCATTGGCTAGTCATTCTTTGCTGATGACTCTAGTTTCCAGGCTCCGGTGAGGTAACGCAGACGAATGAAAACCAGGTCCCGACCCATCTGCAGCCAGCTCCAGAATGGGACCAGTTTGGACCCTGGTGGAGCAGATGCATTTAAATTCCAATGATACTTTTAAGTCTAACCAGGGGTTTATACCCACAATAAAAATAATTGTATCTACGGGGGGGATGAATATTTAGATAAAATAGATCAATCACAGACTTTCAATCCACCGTGATAATTATAGAATTACAGATAGGATGCAGGGTGGGAGTGGACACATGTCCACATATTCCATGAAAAACCAACCTTCTATTTCTGTCCAGTTGACTGCCACTTCTGCGATGGGGATTTTAAAGCACTGGGCAATATACAGAAGCTCCACATCAAAAGCCCTGAGATGAGAGAGTGTAGAGTTTAATGTTTTGGTTTTTTTTTTTGCTTTTTAAATAAATTACAACCAGTATCAAATGTTGGGTCAGAAATGAATTAATGTATTAGCAATGTTGCTCATGGAGCCTGATCACAACTTGTCTCTTGACTGTTTGAGAAACTTGGTCATATCTCTACGGCTTCAGATAGATGAGAACTCGGTCTTCTCTGTCCAATTAGCTCGGATTACAGTGTAAAGTTACAGGTTCCACAGTGCTTAATTGATCGGATAAGGAAGTCATTTTTAAGCCTTCGCTGTTTATGTGACACTGTCAGAATCTTTGCAATCATCCCATTGAAAATATTGCCATGCCATGCTGTATTGATTTTCTGCCGGGCTCTTGTTGCTCTATCACCATGACAATCAGAATTTGCAATAATTAGATATAATTTTGTTATGCATGCTCTAAAACTGCTAGCACAGCATGGTTATTGGGACAATTTATTGGGATAAAAATTACCATCTTACCATCTTTCTACATGGAGAGAAGGGAAGGTCCTCAGTGCGGCCTCACGTGTAAAAAGCTTGAAGCCACACTGTGTGTCCTTGATGCCCCTCACACAGAAGAACCACACCAGGAAGTGAAAGCCCAACATGAGGAATGTACGGAAAACAGATCGCTACAGAAAAAAACATAGAAACAGGAGTTTAGTTAACAAAAATAAATTTACCTGAATTCTCTGGAGGAAGTGGAAGAGAAAATTACCTGAGCGACAGATTCTTTTTCCAGGTGAGCTCTGGAACCACAGGAAATTGCCATGTTGTCCTGAATGTGAAAACACGGGCATTGAGAAATTGATTGTAATAAGACTTGGCAGATAACAACAAAAACACAGTCTCACAGGGTTGGTGTTGACATCTTTAAGTCCAGCTTCTACTTTGTCAAGGTCAGAAAACTTTGTGGCTCCATCTGCATCTGCCATCAGAATATTTCTTCCTCTGGAGCTCAAAGTCCCCTGCAGATAAGACATTTAATGTGTGTAAAATCCATATAAATTAAATATTGCTTTTGTGCTTTGGTTCAATGATCTTCTTACCATCCTCACAGCACCTCCTTTCCCCCTGTTCTGCACCAATGTCAAAACCCGAACTTTGTCTGCACCATACTTCCTGGTGTACCGCAAAGCAACCTAGCAGGTTAATACAACAGTGTTTACCAAAAGGACAAACCACAACAGCAATTATTTTGTAATGTTAGGCAAAGCTATGTTTGTTGGACAAAATTATTTTTTTAACTTATTCTTGAAAGTTGAAAATTATTACCTCTGTGGTTTTGTCTTTGCTGCCGTCATCGACCACAATGACTTCATAGGTAAAAGTTGGAATTTGTTTCTGCAGGAAGATAATTTTTAAAAATGTGATTTTCAGTCAAATGCTGCGACCTAGTGACCACTTTAGGTATAGCGTTTATAATGAAAAAGATTCAACTGAGCATTTACCTGTCTGTTTTCTAAGTACTCCATAGCTTCATCCAACATCACAGGCACTGCAAGTGGAAGTAAATATATTAAAACTGGAACTTTAGACTTAGATATATTTTACACATGGTGAAAATTATTTGCATGTATTAGTTCTTTGCCCATTAGTTCAAGTTCACATAACAAAAAGACTAAATTGTATATGTAGTATACATACGCACAAGTTCTACAAACTTAGTAGTACAAATATAAAGATAGATTTAAAAAATCAGAGCACATTAAATTCACATACAAGAATCCACTTAAACTATGATACGATATGAAAATAACCCTGACAGGTTTGACTGCACATCACCTACTTCGGAACTCCTCGTTGTAGGCTGGGATCACTACAGAGAGTTCTCTAGAACAAGGATCATGCAGGCTTGGAAAGCATTCCTTCTCTCTTGAGGCAGTTAAAAAGTATTTTTCCTTCTCATGGCGAGAAAGGTTTACCATTCCTGCAGTGATGTGTGCTATAACCAAAACCTGAAATAGGATAGGATAAGATAAGACTTTATTCATCCCATACTCATTGACCCATTCATACAACGAGAGTGACATATTAGTTTTATCTGGTGATTAATGATTTTTATCTTTAAACGTTCTAGTGTTTCTTTATAAGAGTGAAGGTACACCATTTACCTTTGGCTGTAAATTACGACTTGGCCACAGCCAACTTTAGTTTTTACAAAAGAGTGAGTCTCATTTCCAGGTGTGCATTAGATAGTTGAATAGCAGTTTAGCTGTTTTTTAAATTACAACGCTAAAATACTGCATAAAAAGCTGTACGAATCCGTTATACATACGTCTGAACTATACGTTCATATACTAAGAAATAACGCTGGACTTTGGCTGTATATTATACAGTCGTTAGGTGATACAAGGTATAACTGAATTTTAAAAAATGTTTGCCAACACAAAAGAAACAATAATTACGTTTACTTACCACGATCAAACAAAGAGCTGCTAATGCGACCAAAGATTGAACTATTTCACAGAGGCAATCCATTTTCCATCAGTAACCCTGCTGCAACCTCTCAAAGTATCAGGCTATACCTACTAGCTTTCCTTCTGTTCGTGTTGTACAATCTGGGGTCTATTTTCTCGATGCGCTCAGAGACTAAATATATTAGTATTTATTTTATAGCAAAACAATGACGTTAAGTTCCAGGTTCGTTCCTGATCTGTAGACATTTCAGTAAACCCCACTTTCAATCACCAATCACATCTGAACACAACGCAGAGCAGGAAGTTTTTTCGACACATCATCAGTATAAAAAGAGACAACATAGAGGCCGACTGTAAAGCCGACACTGACTTCTACAGGACAGGGGTGGTACTATCCAAGAAAATTGCTCGACCGCAAACAGGTAAGAAAGAACGTGGATCATAATGGTTTTGTTTTAATAACTTTGTATTGCGTGTAATTGCTTACTGAGGTTAAGGGTTGGACTGTGTTACTGTGCACCGAATCATAAGCCACAACACTTTGTATTGTTAATATTATCAATACAGTCATTGTATCCCCGTGTTATAATGACAACAAAAACATAACATAATAAATAAATAAATATATACTAATTTATATATATATATATATACACACACATATCAATACGCCGGACTAATCACTTGCCATAATTTCATAATAATTACAAACCGCGGAGTGTAAGATACACTTTACTTTAAGTCCTTGTGTTGTGTATCCGGATCAATAAATACGAATACATTTCCCATTATTTCTGTACTTTTTAAAATATACATTCCTATTACATTTTTCACACCGAAATATCTAGAAATCACAAGATTACCGTATGTCTCACGTGGTTATAGAAAAATCCAGAGATTGCTCGAACTAACTAAATCTCGCGATACCCCACGAGAAGTCAATTACACCACCTCGCTACTGCAGCCTGGTGAGAGGCTGGAGCCAGTACAGATTTCAGATACCGGTTACAAGCCAGCGGTAAGGATTAGGACTTCAAGTGTCCGTTCTTAGAACAGTAGGAACAATTTGCTTTACCATAGTACTTTAACATTCTCATCCAACGGGTGTCGCTGCACTTATTTTATTCGTCTACGCCCCACTGTTGATACAAGAGGAGTCAAGACTGACGTACCACAAAAAATGTCAGTGGTGGGATTTGACTTGGGCTTTCAAAGCTGCTATGTAGCTGTAGCCCGAGCAGGAGGAATCGAGACAGTCGCCAATGAGTACAGCGACAGATGTACACCGTAAGTACATAGAATGCTGATATTCATGTGGATTGAGACATGTGGATGAACCTCTATAAATAGGGCATGAATGGGAACCGGTGTAATACACGTGAATTCAGTGGTACTTATAAGCTACCATTTTACGCAACATGTAACATGTGCTGGCCACTTAATATCTCTTTCTATTCTATATCATTCTAGTATATTAGAAAACGTTTTTGTGATATGCTAGTAAAATCCTTAATTCTGAATATAAACAATACTGTATAACATTTTTGATGTTTCCTGCTCCTAGTGATTTGGCTAAAATCTAGTTCTTTAAGAAATGTGAATGCTAACGTTAAGTTAATGTGCGCTTTGATAGTACACTCTTTGTAAGTCGCCTTCCACAGGCGGGCGGTGTGTTTTCCTCCTTCATAAATACTGTTGTTAGAATCGTGACATCTTAAGCTCCGTCCACGCGGTGTGTCCCGTCTAGTAAAGTAGGCATTTAGAGAAGGAAACGGCAACCAATCGCTCTTCGTTTGGAACGTTCTAGCAATTGTAGCCCTTGGATACATTATCAAAACATAATCTAAATTTCTTAAGGAACATTTTTAAAATGTTGTGTTATACAACCTATTATAGTATAATACTTGACTTAGACACTATAGTTTGTATTCGCAAATGGTGTGTACGTTCTTTTAATTTTTTCATTAGACGTATTTAGAAGATTTTGTTTTCAGTACAAGAACAAAGCATTATCAGTGTTGAAGTCATGCATAAAACCTATTACACAAAATAAGAGCGTTGCGATAAAAGAACAATGTGGTACCTGAGACTGAAATTAACGTAATATACTATACTTTAATAAATCAGATTTGATGTTAGATGTGAAATTTATTTATTACAAATTCAATGCAGTAAATCATTCAGTAGGGTTGACATACGCACCACCAAAGTTTAGATAAGGCCATTGGTAATTTGGTCTACTTTTCAATTCATCCCATTTTGATTACATAATCTCAACACTATAACATTAAAATCAGAAAATACAATGCTGTTCTTGGCTTAGCTGCGGCCCAGGGTCTGTTCTCTGTTTTCCTTCTGATATATAATGTGTTGACTGGTCTTTGACATCACCATCTGCACTTTCTTTTGGACAGCAACTGTCACTCTGACTTCTGTCTTTGATAGGATGGGTCATAACTGTCATGTGTAGACAACCACAAGCTGCTGAGATACAAGTGAAGTCATCACAACACTTCAGACTTTGTTTATTCTGTCAAACAAGAAAGAGATGAATCTTAAGAAGTGCACAGGTGAAGCCAAAAACTGTGTTTCAACGCTAAAATAACTATTCTAAAAAGAATAAGGAGTATTTTAGCATTTGGAAAATACTGATAATTCTTTAGATGATTTATGGCCACAAATACAAGTCCGCTGTAACAGTTGTTAAATTTGTCAAAGTATGCCATCATAGATGATGGACACCTTGTTATTGCTGAGTGTTTAGTAAGACTTAAGACATTGCCTGTATGTGCAGGTAAGTTAGTATTTTAGTTTTTTTTTTCATCAAACAGGTCATTTCTGTCATTTGGACCAAGAAATCGATCAATAGGAGCAGCTGCCAAGAGTCAGGTAAAATAATTAAATTCTGTCATCATCTATTGAGTTCTTTTCAGTACAAGAAATGTTTTATTTGTATAAGTCATCATAATACTTTTTTAACCTTATTTACAATGTCCAGGTGGTGACAAACTGTAAAAATACAGTGCAGGGCTTTAAGCGATTCCATGGCAGGGCATTTTCAGACCCCTACATCCAGTCATCCAAGTCCAAGCTTGTGTATGACTTGGCACAGATGCCTTCTGGATCCACTGGTATAAAAGTAAGGATGCTCTAGACAAGTGTGAACATAGTGGAAGAAACAGTCATTGTTACCGTTCCTAACACCAAGCATCAGGAGTTATACCAGTCTGCAGTGCTCTCAAAAAGTCTGATCAAAAATAAAAAGAACAGTCATAAAAATTTTGATAGAATACACAATGGAGAGAGGAGGAATGTTGAGAATGAGAATGCAGCTCTTTACTGCTCATATTGCTTTATCTATTATTACCTGCTTGCCTTTGTCACAATTTCTGTATCCATCCTTTTAAATACTATGACATTTACATTTACACCACACAGTTTGGTTCCTGAATAGCAAGTAAAACATTGAAAATGTTAAATTGACGTGTTGCAGAATGCAAATAACAGAGATTAGTTTCCACACTAGAATTTGCTATCACACATTTTTTACTCTGTTAGCTTTATTGATGTAATGTCTGTAATCATTGTCATGACTTTCCTTCTAAATCAAGGTGGTTTACATGGAGGACAGCATCGAACAGGTCACTGGCATGCTGCTGAACAAACTGAAGGAGACTGCTGAAAGTGCACTGAAGAAGCCAGTGGTGGATTGTGTGATCTCTGTAAGCGTTCCTGCAGACCTCTGCAACAAACCGACAGATTCAGTTGACTATCCACAAATGAAACAACATGCATTATAACTGATCATCTTCATCTTTCAGTATCTAAAATTATTAATTGATGATACCATAGAGTTGTTCAATGCCAGTGCAATATAAGCATGTTGAGTACAACTAAAAATGGAGGCCAATGAAATAGCCCTCTAGGTTGTTTGCGTCATATGTTCTGCAAAAGCAAATATCTTGTCTGAGAGTGATATTTTTCCTCTTTCACCTTGTTAGTAAAAGTGTGAAATCTTTATTCCTCGCTGTGCTCAGCGCATCAATGCCATCTGTTATGTAATGTTACAGGTCACGCAGAGTGAGGCTTTTTTATTTTTACTGGAACTACAGTATATCTACAGTTAACATTTGCTAGGCGTAGACTACATGTTATTATTATTAGGCCCGATTGCTATATTTAGCTCTTGAGCCTTTCCACAGGGTAATATTTTGTTTTGCTGCCCAAACTCTGATAATATTGATATCGATACGTATCTAAAACGTAGGAGATGTAGGCTTCATTTAGCTACAAATTTAGCATTCATTTAAAAGAGATGAATAAGTAGTAAAAGAGTTTTTAGAGGTGTAATAATAAGTCAGATACTTACTAAAACTGCTAGTGTTTATATTTTACACCTCAGAGATCCAATAATCTTTTTTTTTTCGATGCCAGGTCCCGAGTTATTTCACTGATTTAGAGAGGAGATCTGTCATAGACGCAGCTCAGATTGCAGGCCTCAACTGTCTACGGCTAATGAATGAGACGACTGCTGGTAAGTGCTGAACAGAATGTGGTGTTCTGGTTCAAATTGTACTGCAATTACTTACTTTCCCATCCAAAATCCTTGTGTTAATTTTCTCGTGAGATTATGTCCTGGAACACTTGATACCAAGTACAGGGTGTAAAATTATAGGTTGTTCCATTTTAAAAGAAATACATGTAAATTTGAACCAATTTATTGGTTCAAATTTTCATAAATATGCAGAAGCTGAAATTCTGGTGCTAAAAGCCTTTGGTTGGACTATTGTTGGATAGGTATGGTGATGTGGGGGGAAAGGTCATCTGTTATGCATGTGTTTTGCAGTGGCTCTGGCATATGGCATCTACAAACAGGACTTGCCAGCCCCAGAAGAAAAGCCCAGAATAGTGGCATTTGTGGATGTGGGCCACTCCGGTTACCAGGTGTCAGTTTGTGCGTTCAACAAGGGAAGGCTCAAGGCAAGTAATTAATTATTTGTGTCCAGTTGGAGACCAGTATTGAGGAACCTCATAACAATCATAATCAATCCTCATAACCAAAAATGTTATGAGGATTTAGCATTTTAAAGAATTTGATCTGGTTTGAGATCAACTACACTGCTGTTTCCACATTTTAGATTAATCTGTGTTGTTCTTTATCACTTCAAAAGTATATACACGCCACACACATACTATGTGAAGACTGTTAACAATAATTTCTAGTTTTGTAAAATAAGCTTTGATGTAAAAAACAAACAAAACAGTTTTGGCCACTAACCTAAATTTTATTAGTTGAAATTGAATTATTCATTTTAAATATCATTTTAGTATTTTATTTTATTTTGTAATCAGTAAATTATTGAATTGACTTCATTCATTTCCATCTCATAAGTTTTCATAATGTTTTTATTTGGACATTGATGTGCTTTTCAAACATCTTTTTGTGTGTCTACACATACTAACAACCTAATTTCCACATAATTGTTAAAGAATAGTGTGTAAAAATCCTTAAATGAATTAATTTATTGACATTTGTTTTTCATCTGACATCAGGTTCTGGCTACTGCTTTTGATTCAGAACTGGGCGGCAAAGATTTTGATGATATTTTGGTCAACTACTTCTGTGAGGAGTTTGCAAAGAAGTACAAACTGGATGTCAAGACAAAACCTCGGGCTCTGGTGAGACTTTACCAAGAGTGTGAGAAGCTCAAAAAGCTGATGAGTGCAAACTCCTCCGACATACCACTCAACATTGAATGCTTCATGAACGACATTGATGTTTCCAGTAAACTCAACAGGTGAGTTCCTAAAATCAGGATTGTGAAGCACATTTTGGATTGTGTTTTATTTATTATTATTTCAATTTAAAGCCTGTGCATAATCACTGTGGCTCCGATATTGCTTTTTAGCCATATGGGCAGACTTGGAGGAGTGTGTTTTCAGTAACTCTAGCAGATGCTCTAGTGTTGTTAACGTCTCCAACAGGGGCCGAGGTAGCTTGTTTTCAGTGTAAACAGTCTTTTACGAATGCACCAAGCAAAACATTCAATGTGGATTTCAAGTTTAGACTTTGGTAGCGCTTGTCGACACAATAACTACAACAAGCAATTTGATGTTTTTGTAGGCTTTTACCCCCTCCTCCCACCCCGCAGTATCCAGCCATTCCAAACACATGATGTAATACATGAGAATGCCCCCAAAAAAGAAACTGAACCAGGACTAGATGTGAAAATGAAAATGTGGGGAAAAAATAGAAACTGATATTGAAAGTGGCTTTACTGTCTGAGGTAGTGTGACTATGAAGCCTCTTTTTCTCTCTATTTAAAGCTGATGATTTTATGTTGTTTATAAATAGCTAGCACTTTGGCTTCGCTTCATAGGGCTTTTTTTTCATGGCTATGTGTGACTGCTGACTATTAATAATATCTGACCGTGTGTCTCCAGAGGTCATTTTGAGGAGATGTGTGCGGGGCTGCTGGCCAAAGTGGAGGGTCCCCTACGCAGTGTTATGGAACAAGCAAGTGAGTACATGTGATTTTAATAACAGTTGGACTTCCCCCGTAAGCACAAGCAGATTCACATAGACAAGGTTCTGTCCTGTGCTTGGGTGAAACAGCGTTTCCCCTTGGGCAATGGTGACACATCTCCCTCCCTTCATACCTCTGCTGTAGCGACTTTCTATTTCTGTCTACCCATGCCTGTCCATTTCAATTAGTTACAGCACTAAATGTATCAATGACCAGGGCATATATTGTATGAAAAGAAAAAAGACCCACCCCCGCCAAGCATCTGCTTTGTATCACACTTTATTTTCCTTCTTTTGTTTACAGAACTGAAAAAAGAAGACATCTATGCAGTGGAGATTGTTGGAGGTGCTTCCAGAATCCCTGCCATCAAAGAGCGAATCAGCAAAGTCTTTGGAAAAGAACTGAGCACTACCCTGAACGCAGACGAGGCCGTGGCCCGAGGCTGTGCTCTTCAGGTACCGTTCAACTGTCACGACCCACACTGTGCTTCTGTTGACAGCAGGAAGATCACAGGCATCACAAAAAAAGATGTTTTTTTTTTTAACTGCTGGTTATTTATTCATGGATTTTTTTATTTCAACTGCACAATACACAAATGTCAAAACCTTTGGAATAAGTACATACAAAAAAGTAAGATAAATCCAAATGTTAAGACCACAGTGTTGTGTATCCAGAGTAATCAAACAGGGACTTACGTAGCTTAGACCTTTAATTGCTCAAAGCATCTATGCATTTGTTTTTGAGTTATTCAGTACTAGGTTTAAAGATCATGTAGGATAATCCAAGACATGGATTACTAATAAATAACAAAAACTCAGTGAGGTGCTGTTAAACAGGACCATTGATTATATTCCTTATCAACAGCTGATTCTTAAGCCCGTTTTAGGGAAATTAATTTTGTCAAAGTTATAACCTTCTCCCTTTGTCTTTCACAGTGTGCTATTCTGTCACCAGCCTTTAAAGTCAGGGAGTTCTCCATCACAGATGTTGTTCCCTACTCTATCTCCCTGAAGTGGAATTCAGATGCTGAAGAAGGACTAGGGTACAAGCTCATTGGGAACTGAAGCAAAGTTGTTTTATGTATCCCAGAAATCACAGTAAAGCTCAGTCTTCAAGATCTGTTTATAGTTTATAGAAACAACTTGTTCTTGTGTGTTTCAGTAATTGTGAAGTTTTCCCAAAGAACCATGCAGCTCCCTTCTCCAAAGTTTTGACCTTCTTCCGGAGCGAACCCTTTACCCTTGATGCCTTCTACAGCAACCCCAAGGAGCTGCCCCACCCCTGCACCAATATAGGTACCTAAAGTTTGCTGTCAGTTAGATTCTCAGTCCAAAAAGTAGTGTATTTAGAGTATTTAGTGAAGCAAAAATGTTCATAAGCCTGTTTGTTATATTGATGTTTACTGGTTTACCGAGCTTGTTTTACATTGTCTAACTTTTTACACCTTTTCAGGACAATTCCTGATCCAGAATGTGGTTCCTCAGGCGTCTGGTGAGAGTGCAAAAGTCAAGGTGAAAGTTCGTGTCAACATCCACGGTTTGTTCAGTGTCTCAGGTGCGTCACTCGTGGAGGTCGTGAAAACAGCTGAGGGTGAGGAGCCAATGGAGACAGACCAGGCAGTAAAAGAGGAGGAGGTGTGTATTGTTCACAGTATAATTGTTAGAGCCAACACCCTATGCTGCATCCACACTACTCTCTATTTGGCAAAAATGATTTCACCAAAGGAAGACTTTTTTCTTATGAACAAATGGAATTAAATTCCATTTTATGCACCCATCTCAATGTCTTAAATAACATGTCACATGACTGCTAATAATTGTCATTTATAATGAGACAAGACGTTGTATAACCATGTATACCTCATGATGAAAACTGTAACATTATCACAGTTGCTTACAAAGTCAGCACAGCCAAATAAAGTTGTAGTTGGTAGAAGTGGGTCAGGATGGGGGGAAGGTAAGTTAGTGGCTGTGACACTATAGACAAACAACTGTCCCTTCACAATTAAACAATTCACAATTAAAGTTCCCGAACAGCCTGAGATCTTTAAGTAACATGAATGGGTCTCAGATGTGGTATAAGGTTGTATAAAAAAATAAGATGCTAGGTCACTGTGAAACTAGTAGCTGAGATGTTTCACCCTCTTTGTTTTTAGAGCTTTATGATGCTCTGCTAGTGTGGCTAACAGGTGTATTTTTTAGCCAAAGAATGAGTGGAGTAAATGCAGCCTAACATTGCATGTCTGTTTGCAAGCGTGTGAAAGGAGACAGTTTTCTTCATGCTTTGTTTGCTTTGCTTTGTTCACACATTGGAAATGTCAGCCTGGCCACACCTCGTCAATTTTTTCATCGCTAAGGAATTTGGTTTTCTTGTCTTAACAAGCTTAAAGATATTCTTTCAATCACCATCGCTATAAAATTTCACGGGTTGTTGATCCAACTAACACTGAGTGACTGTTTATCTTGTAAGCACAACCAATAAATTAAACAACATAAAGTAATTATCAAATGCAACACATCTGGAAAAACACCAAACCAACACTTGGAAGGAAAGTGAACTATTTGTCATTGTGACACAACACACCACTACACACACACAATGAAATGTGACCTCTGCTCGGAGAGAGAGACCTGTACCCTGCTCAAAGCACCTGTGCAAATTGGCAGCTGATGGACTCGAACCTGAAACCTTACAAACCCAAGTCCGCTTCCTTAACCACCAAGCCACAACTGCCCGCTTGGACTGCTTAAATTTTTTTTTTTAGTATGTAAAAGTAATTGTAAATGTGTTTTGCCACATTGTGGCAAATGTAATGTTACATAATTTAGACTCTTTATTTGTTACGATGTGTCAGAACAAAATGCAGGTGGACCAAGAGGATCAGAAGCCTCAGTCTGGGGAAAATGGAGACAAGAAATCTGAGACAGAGGAGATGGAGGTAATAAAACATGCTGAATACATACAATATACAAACATATGGAAAATGACACAAAAGGTCAGATGTACTGCAAATTGTGAGTGAATGCGAATGGGTTGAAAGTTACAGTTTGTGCGTGCATGTCTGTTGTCACCTAATCTTCTGGGCAACATTAAGGCTCAGCTCTGAGCTGGAAGCTGTAGCACAAACACTGGAAAGCCTGCAGGAGAGTGTGAGGGATCTCTTTTTGGGGAACATATTTATTAGAATGACATTGCTTTGTTTAATATTTACCTTTTGCACTGCAGGACAAAATTGCGTTTTGATATTTATTTATTTTTATTTATTAGTTACAGTCGTTTTAGCCTAGCACTAATGTCACGTCACCTATGTGGAGATATTTTCTGCAAATGTTTGAATTTTCAAGCAACTGTCTTTAAAGTCACAGCTGCACACTGACAGCATGTCTAACACACTGTGCTGCTCTGTACATTTTTAACAAAGATGTCATCATAATCATGTAAAGTAAATATGATTGAGGTTGTGCTCTACTTTTTTTTACTTTTTGCTCTGTCATTGAGGTCTAGACTCATTTTGGATTCCTAAGATTTTGAGGGATCTTAAACAGAAATGTACCACTTTTACCATTTGTTATAATACTTTGATATACGAGCTTTGCCTAAAGTCCCACTTTTACCAGATAATCCAAGTTACAGTATTAGTATCAGACCAATAAAAGTGTTTAGCAACACTTAACTACAAATATTCAGACAGATGGGAATAAGAAAATTTAACATAAAACGTTTCTCCTGTTTCAAATTAATGGACAACAAGAGATGTGACAATTATCCATATCATGGATGTCAGTGCTTAAGTGCATATCCCTGCACCCTTGTACTGGTTTGACAAATCTGGATTAATAAGAACACGTTCTTAAACTGGCCTCCACCGGTGATTGATATAACAATTTATATAAAGTTTTGCGCTGTTCCAGAAAGTAGTGTCTGCTGTCAGAAAGATGAAACACAACTAAAATTATCAACCTGAGCAGGTTTTACTCATTGGATAGAAAACAGCTCTGAAAACCACACTAATTAATTTTCCTCTGTCCTTCTCCAGACGACAACAGAGGATGCCAAGCAGGAGAAGAAGAACGACCAACCCCCTCAGGCCAAAAAGCCCAAAGTGAAAACAAAGTCAGTGGAGTTGCCCATAGAGAGCAATTTGCACAAGCAGCTGTCCAGTGATCTGCTAAATACGTTTGTTGAGAATGAGGTAATGTTCTAAAAATCACCGGGAATGTCTTGCATGTACTCAGAAAGCATTTGCTCCCAGCAGCAGTGTAGTGAGACTTAGTCACTATTTAAACTGTGCGTCATTGTGGATTCAGCTTATTAAAGCTCAAAATCACTGCAGATTAATTAGTGTCTAACTATCTTGAAATAGTAGTGTGAATTTCTACCTTAATTAACCTTTGTGTGCCCCATTTTTTGTAATGTTGTTATAAGCTACACTTAGAAATGTATTTAAAAAACAAGGCATGAAATTTACCACTAAAACATTGATTGGTACTTTTAATATGACTTAAATGGTAGTTTGATTTTCTATCCTCTTACAAACGGATTTTTTGTGCACTATTCTGGAAAGAGAAATGAGTGGTTATCCTTAATCTGTGACTTTTCCAGGGTAAAATGATCATGCAGGATAAACTGGAGAAAGAGAGAAACGACGCAAAGAACAACGTGGAAGAGTACGTGTATGACATGAGAGACAAGCTCCATGGTGTCCTGGAGAAGTTTGTGAATGAAGCTGTGAGTATTGATCGCTGGAGTCCTTTAGCCAACCAGTTCAACTGACAAAGAAGCTGCATTGATGAACACATAGACCTGTAGAAGGACTAAAAGGCAGTCTGGGCATTAAACCTATTTTTAAATAATATGAATAGGATTTAATTTATCAGTGAAGCTTCTAAGTCTGAGAGAGACAGCCTCACCTGCCCAGCCAGTAATTAATGAAAGCGATTTATTCACATGTACTATCAAAGTAGAACAACACAGAAGAAAAAGCTTACTTACCTGAAAAACAATAACCAACCTGAAAATTGCCAAAAATGCATAAAGAGTAGAAGGAGAGTTAAATCTGACCTTTTGTGCAACATCTAGGATCGTGATACATTCTCTCTGAAACTGGAGGACACAGAAAACTGGCTGTATGAAGATGGGGAGGACCAACTGAAACAGGTTTACATTGATAAACTGGCTGAATTGAAGGTAACTTAACACACATTTATTGTTACAATTAAATTCCTTTTTTTTTCATTGTGTATAGGGGGAAAAAAACCTTGGCTTTTAAAACAAACAAATTGATCACTGTGGGTGAGTCGCGGTTAATCAGAATTAATTGAGTCAAGTCAACATCCCTAAATGTGACTAAATGAGAAGTTTGATTTTGCATCCTAGAGTTGGTGGATCATAGTCATCACTGCATTATGATGGTGGCTTGTAGAAAACATCAAGAGTTTATTTTAAAACACCTGTTGTCCTCAACAATATCAATCAGTCTACAGTCCATTGAAATCCATTTGACAGTTGCATCTGTCAGCTCATCAGTTAATGAGAATAACTTGTCAATTTTGACTCAAGGTTCTTTGACTGCCCTAAAACTATCATTCAGTATCTCAGTGCTTCTTCCTGACTAAATCTGATTTTCTACAGAACTTGGGTCAACCCATCCTACTCAGATATTTGGAGTCTGAGGAGAGGCCAAAGGCTTTTGAGGACCTTGGCAGACAAATCCAGATGTACATGAAGATCATCGAAGCTTACAAGGCAAAGGTACAGCATAAAAAAAACAGTCTTTAATTTTGGAAATCTGATTATTAGTCATATTGGCAGATATATAAAAGCAATAGTGCAATAACTTACATATTTGTCTAATAATATTTATATAAAAGCAATAGTGCAATAACTTATAAATACTAAGCAATAACAACGATATAAAGATTAGTAATGTTTAAAATGCTAATACGTAATACACCGTCTTCTTCATTTATGTGTTTCATTTGTTCTCTTGTTTGTGTACATCACTTTGTTAGTGTTATAAATACATTTGAGATAGTTGAATTTTCTGTATTACAAACTAATATTAAAATAACAAGGCCAGATTTATATATCTATACATTTATATTTACCACAACCTCCAACAGGATGAGCAGTACAGTCACTTAGATGAGCTGGAAGTGACTCGAGTCGACAAGCAGGTGAACGATGCAATGGTCTGGATGAACACCAAGATGAACCAGCAAAACAGTCAGGGCCTCACCCTGGACCCAGTGGTTAAAGTTGAGGAGATCAAGGCCAAGACCAAGGTATGGAGACAGCAGAAAAATGCACACTGGGGGAAAAAGTCTATTTGTAATGGCCATTATATGAAGTTCATTATAAGATGGAGCTTTTTGTCTTCACTTAGACACAATCCAGAAGTTAAAATTGAAACAACCATTTTCTTTTTATTTAGGAGCTTTATCAAGCCTGCAATGCTGTGGTGTCCAAACCCAAGCCCAAAGTGGAGCCACCGAAGGAGGAGAAGACAGAAAATGGACCAGTAAATGGACAGGAGGGCTCAGAGAACCACTCACCCAACCCAGAGAAAGCCACGCCTGCAGGAACGGAGAAGGACACTGCAGAGAACAAACCTCCTGAAATGGACATTGACTAACATATCAAGTGTTATCCTTGTCCTGCTACTCGCTCCTGATCTGTTGTTCTTCTGAGATTGTCGTTGTTCACAATGTAGCGTCTCTTTCGCTTGTTCTCTTCCTCTCTCTCTCTCTCTCTCCCTCTCTCCCTCTCCCTCTCTCTCAAAGATAGACAGACAGTAGCAGCATCCTTAATCAGTGCAGTTCCATAAGCCTCCTCAACCTGTCATTTGTTACCTTCTTTTAATACAGCACAATATTGCGTAATGTTAATAATTGACAGATTTCTTAATGGCATCAAAGTTGTTTGTGGAATGGGAACTTTCTCTGTTATTCTTTGATAAGTTAAGTTACAGATTAGTTCTGGCTGATTAGTTAAGCCATTTCTGAACACCAGGAATGTCATGTTTCATAAAATCAAAGTAAAACTCTTAGATAGAATAAGGTAAAGACACAGAGACTATGTAAACACCTGGGTTATTTCATATTTTCGGAAAATTGTAACTGCTGGGTCGTCATGTTACTATCATGCAGTATTTAAATGTTTGGCTTTCCTCATTCAAAAGCTACGATCCACTGTTTCGGTTCTCTGGTAGCCTTGTGTTGCTTTTTTTCTACATAAATGTGAACAGTGCTTTAACAAATCACCTTCCAGGTGCTGCTGTTGGTACCATGTCACGATGCAAAAATAAAAAAAAATCATACAAATTAATTAGTAATTATTCCTCGTTTAAATTAATTGAGAAATGCTATTATGTAGATGCTTATAGATACAGTATGTACTGAAAGTGTTTTTTCTTAAGAACCCTTATGGTTTTGAACCTAAGGCTTCATGAGATTTGAAAGAAACAACAGATATGTCAGTACTAGTAAAAAAAAAATACATATTTCAATGATCAATATCTAATCAGTAAATCGTAAAACCACCTCGTGTAATAGCTACAAATAATTGAACAAACAGACATTTTAGAAGAACGATTTATTTTGGAAGCGGAATGTACTTAATCCAACCAGTTTCACTCAAATGCAATCAGTCATTCGTGTTTTACATTAACTGTGTTTTGTACGAGGTTGATTTAGAAAAGTAAATCTAGGTCCCATGTGACCACTGTTTAATATTTAAGCAAATACGACAATTTGCCGTGTATTACAAACGCTTTAGCGTTTATTTTGGAAAGCGGAAATGGTTAGACCGGCTCACGTCACTTTGCTTCGTTACAGTGAACTTTACATTACAGGGGTTCATAGCATGCCACGGGCGTTGTGTTGGCAGAAGTGAGTGTGGGTTGACGTGAAGGTGAGAATTGTAATCTTTTTTTATTAAGAGTTACGCAGCAGTTCCAGTTGTGTCACATTCATGGACGTGTTTGTTTCTTCTGCAGAGCAAAAGTTACAGCAGTGTCCAGCTGCTACAGTAGCCATGGCCACTGTTTACACTGGCTAACAGTTTCAGCCTGCTAGCTCAATTGACAATTAAGTTAATCTCATATCCTTTAAGCTTCGTTGTTCTTGGAGTAAACTGTAACAGTTTTCCCCTTGATGTTGCAACTTCAGCAGTAATATATCAGACAGTTAATAAGTTGTTTAACGATAGTTCCGTTTTACAAAGTTAACTTATTTCGGTTAGCATGTCTGCTATCAAGAGCAAAACACGAAATGATGTCAAGTTACCGAACCATTGCGTCGCTACCTGACGTCCACGTTGATTTATTCCTTCGTATACAACACTACGTGATGTATTACTACTACATTAAAACATCTGGGTTAATTATGTACTGTAACGTGTGATTAGAAAGCTTTCCAGAGTATTAAATGTGTACTGTAACGTGTGATTAGAAAGCTTAGAGTATTAAATCTAAACGTTTTTGTTTACTCTGATTAAACATTCTGGGTTGTTGTTAAATTGTATGGATCCATAGATTTAAGAAGCGGAACCATTCAGATGACGTCTTTATGTTTGCTTGATGATTATTGTATACCCAACATATGGGTTATATTGAGGACATTTTAAGTGACTTTGTTTTTGAATAAATCATACATTTCCTTTAAATCACACTATCTGTGGTCAGTTCTGTGTGTTACCAATAGGGTGATTGTCGTCAACGAGGGTGTAACAGTGTTTCTTTAATTTAATGAACCCAGAATACAACGCCATAAGATACGTCGTGTCGTATAGAGCCGCGTTACTAGCAGTGGAAGGAAACAAAAGTAAATGCGCAAAATAGAAAGATACATTTTAAGCAGTATAATTTTTGTGTTGGAGTTTAAGGGGTATTCATGATATTGATTTGTTAGTAATTTAAAAAATGTACCGTTTTACCAACACACGTGCTTTTTTCTCAGATAAACTGAACATTATAATTTAAATTATTTTTATGTTTTACTTCATTTGGTCCCAAGTACATCATTGTTAAAACTGTTACTGTTGTGCCACCGTCACAGTAACTAACTTGGGGTGATTTGAGAAATGACTGTGAGAGTGTTTATGCTATTGAAGACAATTCTGCTTTTGTGTTTGTTTTGATATACTACAATGCTTGGATACATTTTGATGCTGGTCATATTTCAGCATCATGACACCTTTGTATTGCTAACTTTGTTGACAATGAATCATTATTCCATGTGCAGGAATGTAAATGTCTGAGGACAAGGAAGCCCAGGAGGATGAACTGCTTGCTTTAGCAAGTATTTATGATGAAGATGAGTTTCACCGAGCGGAGTCTGCACAAGGCGGGGAGATGCAGCTTTGCCTGGAGCTTCCTCCGGATTTCAAAATCATTGTAAAAGGTATTTAATTTTAATTGAAGTTGTGCAATGAGTTGTTGTTTTATGTACAATACCATTATCTTATAACATGTTCATTATATTTATCTGCACAATTCTCTTTTAAAATTCTAAATAGATTTTTTAATTATTCATTCATCCTTTTAATGCACAAACATTGAGCCATATCATAATATTTGTTTGTATTACAGGAGACACAAAAACTGAATACAATGTGAGCTTCTTGCCTCCTTTGGTGCTCAATTTTGAGTTGCCTGCAGACTATCCTTCTACGTCCTCTCCAAGTTTCACTTTGAGCTCCAAATGGATGACCAAAGCCCAGGTACGAAGTCATGAAATCCATTTCATTTACATTCACTGTAGTTTAAAATGTTCCTCAACAAACAAAACAAAACATTGAGCTCATTCGAAGATCTCCTGCTACTGAGAGACGAGACCAACAACAATAAAAGCCTTTCCATAAACACAGCTAAAAAAAACTTTGTCCTTTACAGTTTCCCCTCATCTTAACCAAAGCTAATATCGCTATGGCTGAAACCTAACAGCTATAGCTGTTCTCTGTGACCTTGCATCTGTTCTACTTTTTAGAAAAACATCCTCTTTAATGAAGAATTGAGTTCCCCACATAAATACTTAACAATTTGTGTGGTTCTTAAAATAAAGAGGCTGTGCTTTGATGTATGTTGTTTCCTGTTTTATTCCTCAGATGAGCACACTATGCAGACGTCTGGATGAGCTGTGGGAAGAGAACCAGAGCAGTGTAGTCCTTTTCACATGGATTCAGTTTCTTAAAGAGGAGACTCTGGACATTCTGGGAATCATGTCTCCTCTTGAAATCAACAGAGGGGGAAGTAAGGCAGGTGGTGAGCGCAAGAAAACAGACCCGGCAGTTACAGGTAGAGCCATTGTGTCATAAAATCATTTTTTGTGTATTTACAAGCAGAATTATTTTGTTGGTTAATCTAGACTAGGTGTCACCAACAAAATATAAGGATAAAAATGAAAAAAAAAAAGGTGCCGTAGTAACACCCTTGGATATTGCAATGTGGAATATAAAGAGCGTTCATCGAAAAGTCTTTGCAAGTGATGAAGCTGTTGTAGCTCACAGCTTAAATAATTAATAAATAGTAGTGACATAATAAATTACAGTTCTAACTATTTTTAACAAATAACTGTTATCATTTAGGTTCATCTCTGACCGGGAGTCATTCTAAATCCATGGAGGAACAGATAGTAGAGGAGAAGAAGAAAAAGTCAGAAATGCAGTTGATGTCTTCTCAGCTGGACCCTCGGGCCGTCCTGTTGAGAGACCCACATGTTGATCCCTTACCTCAACTTCTTGACTTTGATGAAGGACAGCGGCAGAGGGTTTTTGACAGCAAGGTCTTCTGTTGTGGCATCTGCTTTGTAGAGAAGCTGGGCTCCAGCTGCCTTTGCTTTAAGGAGTGTCAACACGTGTACTGCAAGGCCTGCATGACTGAATACTTTCAAATCCAAATACGCGACGGCAACGTTCAGTGCCTTAACTGCCCTGAGCCAAAGTGCACCTCTGTAGCCACACCACTACAGGTAAGACTGTGTCTCTTCTTACGGTTATTTATTCAGACTGCACGAAGACTGATTTCTCTAATGCTTGTCTAACTTTGTAGGTAAAAGAGCTCGTCAATGATGAGCTGTTTGCCCGTTATGACCGTTTGCTGCTTCAGTCCAGCCTAGACCTTATGGCTGATGTTGTTTACTGTCCCCGCCTGACCTGCGGCACACCTGTCATGGTAGAACCGGACACTACTATGGGCATTTGTGCTGCCTGTCAATATGCTTTTTGCACACTGTGCAAACTGGGTTATCATGGAGTCTCACCGTGTAAAATCAGCGCAGGTATTGTACTGGATACTATTGAAATTTGTCATGTGAAATTGTTAATCATTGTAGCATTATTTTCTCTTCATGATCTAGTTTAATGAATAATTTAAATTGTAGTACTAAACTGTTTTACTCATTATTTATTTTACTTATTAAATACATAATAATTTTACTGAAGCATAAGCCTGGGTGATGAGTTTCAATATTATATTGACACATTTTGTATACATGATCAAGAATGAGACTGTATCATTTTTATGGATGCTATATATTCATATATATAGATACATACTGTATATATGTATATACAGTATTCTTGCCCAAAATTATTCTTAAAAAAGTTTTTAAATTTTGCAATTTGCATGTTTGTGGGCTCACTGCATAGTTTGGAATATTTATCTGGTTGATATATGTATGAATTGATATATTGAATATTGACATTTAACTATAAAAATATCAAGATATTTCTTTGTCTCCGTTATGCCCAGTGTTACTGAGCATTGAAAATCCACACATATTTCTCTCATGGTGAAATATACATTTTGCAAACAACACTATTAAATACTGTTTCAGCCATTCATCTAGCAAAGGCTCAGTTATTTAAGGCATAAAAACTTGTTTACAGTTCCAACAGTTCTGAGCTCGAAACTTTTTCATTTCAACTACAGATGAACTGCGTCACCTCCGAGATGATTACCTGTCAGCTACAGCACAGGAGCAAAAGTTTATGGAACAAAGATTTGGGAAGCGTGTGATTCAGAAAGCTGTGGAAGAGTCCTTTAGCAGAGACTGGCTGGAGGAGAACTGCAAGTCTTGTCCACGCTGTGGAACCAACATACAGGTCGTGCTCTTGTTTAGTTCTTTTTTTGTTCAAACATTAGTAATCAGTCATTTATTTTTTGTGAATGCATTACATATAAACCAGTGTTTCCCAATGTGAGGGGCGATGCCCCTTATTGGGCACAGCTATTGCTGAGTGGTTTTTACCTACAGTGAAAAAAATGCATCATTTGTAATTTCCTTTTTCTTTGTTTGTTGACCTGTGGTGTATCTGGTCCATGATTTTGTGAGTGTTTCTAAAACTCAGGTGTACGAACTCACCTTTGTGTTTTATCTAATGTTTTCCTCTAGAAAGTGGACGGCTGCAACAAGATGACTTGTACCACATGCAAGCAATATTTCTGTTGGCTGTGCCTGGGCGCTCTCAGCAAAGTCAACCCATATGGTCACTTTAATGATTCACGCTCCCCCTGTTACAACCAGTGAGTGAAACATTTCAACTTAAATCCAATGCTTTCTCAGCTTTTTTTTTTGTTACCATAACTTTACTCACCTTTTGCAGACTCTTCCAGGGTGTGGACGTGGATGACGATGACGACTTTTTAAGCGATGAGGACGACTAACACCACTACAGTGCCGATCAACATATCCCTTTTTAAATGCACTTTAAGTCATTTAGTCTTTACGTCACCTCCGTTGTACGACAAAAGTGTTTCTACAGCATTGCTGCAGGGCAACGTCGACTGCATTTGACATCGAATCCTACTATCGCTCATGATGTTCGATTGATGACACGATTGAGCCAATGAAATGACAGCAGCGTACCTCTAAGATTGATTGCTTTCTTTCTGTTGCCTTTCTTATCAGTTCATAAGAGATATTTATTTTTGCCATGACACACACTCACACAGACAACGTGAAACAGGCTGCATCGATTAGTAATGCATCCCCAGATGTACAGTACGACAACTATGTATAATATGACAAGTAATGGGACCATTACTTAAAATGTAAACTCATTTTTCAGTTGAAGTCATTTTGTTTTAAGCTCGGTGCTGCTGTTAAACCATGCTCATTACATCAATAGGAGAATGACTAATTATGGGCCATAATAACTTCAGACATTGTTTATTGATAAACCAAGCGCTGTCTAATTTGTTGACACTTACGAGCAGAGACACACAGATTGTTTATTGTTTAGGGAAAGGTAACAGGTCGACTCTAATTGTGCATCTGCCCCAATTCTGAAGCAGTTGCTGCTGGTTAATACACATGGTCAGGGAGGTTAACCTTTTCTTAACTGTTCTCGTTGTATGTTTTTATGAGAAGGTTGTGACACATCAGGATCTAACAAACTCTGGTCCAACAACAGTAACATGTTGATTAATCATTTCTACTCTCTCATACCACGACATAACCATTAAAAATAACTCTGTAATGGACGGCCAAGGTTAGACAGACTATGTTGTCTAAATGTGGTACGCTTTAAGGTTTAAGGACAAGATAAAGGCCAGAGAATTGTGCTTCATTTCATGTTATTATGAAATGAATACAAAATGTATGTGGTATGTGGTGAGAATTGTCTGGTCGGCTGCAAAAATGGACTTTAACACATCAGAGGTAAGCTTATAATTTGTTTAGTCATGCTTTTATTGGCAGGTAGTCTATTGGTTTACAGTGACTATATAACATTTTGGAGAAGGGAATGTGGAATTCTTGTTCTTGATGAAATGCCAAGGCATTAAGGAATGCTTTTGAATCAGTGCTTTCACTTTTCCTTGTCATTTTCATTGCCAAATTAAAATTTGAAAGAGGGGCTGTTTTATATGTACATAATAAAACATGATAGTTATATTGTTAATTCAAAAGATGGCAAACGTCATCTTTGTGACGTTCAAAAGATGGCAAACGTCATCTTTGTTTAAACAAAAGCTTTATCAAATCCGACTTTGGAATTTCAGATAAGCTCTATCGAAAATAATGTTGTCTTGTTAATAGAAAATAAAACAATATTAGCTTTACTGCTGCTGGTATACTGTGATTTGAATAAAGAATTCTGAGGTTTATGGTTGACCCTGTTATGACATTATTTTGGTCCAAATAAACTTTTTTTTTTAGATGTAAACACTAGCAGCTTCTGCAGAGAAGATCTTCCTCCATAATGACAACCATACAATCTTGGAGGTGAGTCTACACACAGTAAGACATCAGTAAACTATTGAATGAAATGGAAATTTAACATAAACTCATTTCATCCCCCCCCGCTCTCTAGGTAACAATACCTTGTTGTCTTAAGCATGACCCACTTGCAACGTGTGATACAGAGGTTACACTGAGTCAGAAAGAGGGACAATGGAACCCAAAGGAACAAAAGAACCATGTGTGAGCCTGAGATTGAAAAGAGACGACAACAGGTGAAATCCCTTTGGCCAGAGTTGCTGACAGGGTATAACCCTTTAAAACGGCCCCTCTGCCCTGCCCCGTCCCCTGCCTTGTGTTGGCAGTGCATCCCCCATCAGCCCCTGACTGGCCTGGTAGTTACTACGCTCCTAAGGACGCCTGCTCTTAAAAACACAGGAGAGCAGCATTGGACCTACGCGGAGAACCTTTCCTTCCTCTTTACCATCACTTTATTCGTAGCACAGCCACATAGAAGTGGAGCAAAACTTGCAAAATCAGGTCAGTGGATTTAACCTGGTGTATGGATCTGGAATATTGTAGTATAATAATATGAGATTTACTAAAATGATGTACTTGGTATACAAATAATGTGTCAGCAATGTTTTTTTTAAATTAGTTGCTAAGTGTTGCTTTCTGATACTGAAATTTATTGTTGATAGAAACTCCTGACAATGTGATAAATACTCTGTTCTCTCCTGTTGAAGACGCTGAATTTTCTGAGGCTCAATAACCAGCAGTTGGTCCAGCACAAGAGTCAGGACACACACTACCATGATTGAAGGTGACAGAGAATTGTCGGCGATGGTGCAGGAGCTCTGGGACAATGACGTCAACAGACTCCAACCTGGCAAAGACTACAGGATTTCTCTGCAGGTGCGGCACACACCACACACATAAAAGCATGACTTCAAATAATATATCATCATTTGAAGCAGGGATCCCCAACCAGTGGATGTTCGATTGATGACACTGGGCAGTGGATTATTTGGCCGCACGGAAAAGGATAAAAAAAAAGTTTTATTATATTTTATTTTAATTACATTCGTTTTTTATGTGTTATGAATTAGTGAAAACATAGCTGGAATGATTCTTTAAAAATGGGGAAAGGCCTAATGATGAGACAGCAGAAGGCTCAAAATCTGCATTTAAATGAAAACACTAAGAGTCTGAAAATGAAAATGAATGATAAAGACATATATATACTTATATTGACATATGTAATATTTTAAATTATGTTTAAAACATTTTATTGTTTTTATTTTATTTTATTATTACAGGTTACTATAAATTGTAACAATACAGATTTTCCATTACTTGTGTAAATGGCTGTGATATATTAAATGTGCTGTAAACTCTCAAGAGGTAGAAAAAGATCATTATTTGTCCAGAAATCAATTGAGATTACAGACAATCCCCTCTACACAACCTCATAGTTCTTATGGGAAAATAGAAAGCAGAAAGATCTGTGTTAGATCCAAAACAAATCTATATTTTAAAGCTTAATGATTTTATTCCTGCTTCAGGGCAAAGCTGGAAACAACATGGCCATAAATGACAACAGTGATGGAGCAGGATACCCTCTCTTTAGCTTTGTTGATGAGAACATCTTCAAAAAGGAGACCTTCTTAGGTACGTGCATGAGGGAAGAGCAATATTTCTATCATATTGATCACTTCATTATTCCAAATTGAGTGTTTCTCGTTTTTTATTGGTTTCAATGTGCAAGATCTAGCAGCATCTAGTGGTGAAGTAGATGCAGTGGTGGAATTTTACACCATCACATCTGTCCTATTTTTTTTGTAACGTTAGTTTTATAATTTCCTCCTACTTTTCTTGGTCACGTTTTGAATAATTTGGCAAACATTTGTTTTAAGATTACAAATATTAAAGGTTACTTGCTTTTGTTTGGTAATGTTATTTATATATTTATTATTTTTGATCTTTATCTAGGTTTTATTATGGTTTGACTAAATATCCAGGGCTAACATTTGTGTTATGCTATACTGGAAAAATATATAAATATATAAAATGTATATATGGCAATATATTTGTTAGCTCAATTATTGTTACTTTGGATAAAATATAATTATGCTAACTAGTAGCTACTTAAAAATCAAATAATTCTATGTACACAAGTTCAAACTTTTGGCTAATGCTTAACTAGCTTAACTAGCTGTTGCTATGTGGAACACTATAATTCCCTAAATACTATTTGTCATTTATAAATAAAGACCCATACAAATGCTAAATTTATAGTCCTACATTGAAGCTCAGTAAAGAGTTTGGACTATCTTGCTCGACCTATTTATTCTGTTTGACAGTCTACTCTTTTGCAGTAAAACGTCTGTGTATAGCAGTACACTAGATGCAGAAAGATGCTCCACCTCAGCCGTCTGACTTGAGTGTTCCGTGGTACCTGCTGAGGCACTCGTCCGTGTAATGATGCTTGTCACAGATTTGTGTGGTGCAACTCAATAGAGAAATCAATGTCCTTGAACAAGACTCTATGGGAGGTTAAGTAATGCAAGAGCTGGTATCAGAAAATCATTCTGAGGCCCATGTCAAAAGAAAACAAATGACTCACCTCACTGTGCTATTTTTGTAGCGTCTTACCAAGGCTGTGTCATTCACCATGTTATACAACAGGAGCATGTATTCTTTGTTATAAGCAGAGCCAAAGAGGGTTGCAATAATGGAATAGTGTTATCATAGTTAGTAATTAGCAGAGCTTGGGGTAAAAAAAATGTTTTACTGTGGCTTTTATTGAAATCTGTAAAAAAGTTATAATTTAATCAACACAAGAAAAAAACAAAGGCTAAAGCAAAAATAGCTGGAGGTTTTTAGAAATATAAGTAAGTAGCCAACCTGTGACTTTACACACTTAGTTTAAATGCCCTCCCAACTTATTTTTGTACAGAATTTGGAAGAATTTAAAACCTTTGCATTTTAAAATGTGACATTTTTAGTTAGATTGTAAAATATATATATATATATATAAATTTAGCAAATGTATTGGTTCCTGCAGCCTTTATCTCCCTGTTGGACAACTACGAGAGTGACACTGGAAAACCCGAAATCGTAACGCCTGAGGAAGAGGCAGAGAATCACAAGTTCCTTGATGCCATCGTTCAAACAGCTGCTATGAAGGTAGGAACGGCTTAAGATCCCAAATTCGAAAACATATTTACTTAAGAGCACTGCTAATGTGGTGACTGTGCTACTGCAGAGAGCTCATAAATACCTGGTGGAGAAGCATCTCTCTCCTCAGGATGAGACACAGTTCAAGAAGCAGCTTTACAGGATCTGGTTTGAACTTTATGCCAGGAGGGGCTCCAGCAGGTAGGTGAAATCTGTGAAGGTCAGCACAGTGGCACCTGTGGAATGTAGCACATTGATGATAACTGTAGAAAAGTAATGTGTAATGTTACACAGCCAGTCAGTATGGCTGCAAGTGGACCATCACATTTACCAAAATGTTATCATCTTGCTTGTCATGTATATACTAACTTTGATTCGATCTTATTTGTTTGGGTTCACTGGGTCATGTTATTATTCTCTCTGTATGCCTCTTACAAGACCAGATTCCTCAGGGTTTGAACATGTATTCGTTGGAGAGACGAGAGGAGGACGGACTGTGATTGGCTTTCATAACTGGATCCAGCTCTACCTGCAAGAGAAGCTGGGACACATCGACTACAAAGGCTACAGTGTCGACGCAAATTCACCCCAGGTATCATTTTCAATCAAGATAATCAAATAATTTGGTTCATGCAATAATACTAAGTTAGCTGATTAGCCGTTTTTTCGAGAAAATAGGTTAAGATGTTATATTATATAGATCAGAAATATTAATGTTAATTATTAACGTATTCCCACAACAATTGCTAAGATTGCTAAATATCATTTGGTCAAATACAGCTACAAAATAACTTCCAAATATATAGTTGTATATAAATAGTTGGCCATTCAAAAGTTATAAATTGTTACTAATAGGTAGAATATGGCAAAAGCTATAGCTATAAGCTATAGCTGAAGGTGATGATTAGATGTTAGTCTAGTGGGAACAAAGTCATAGCTATATAAAGGAAACAGCTCAGTTGTCTAGAAATATAAGATTAATGCACTCGAAATAAATTTGATGTGGAAATAACAAACTGATCACAGCTACAGTTTAAAATCAAGCACAGTGTTCTATTCTTAGCAATGCTTCCTTCTTGTGTTTCATTTCTTCCGTCCGATGATCAGCCTGATGAGAACCGACATATCCTGGCTCTCCAGTTCAGCTGGAAGAAAGGGATTAAGACAAAGGGCAGCATCTTCATGGGTGTCAGTCCAGAGTTTGAGTTTGCCCTGTACACCCTCTGTTTTCTGACCTCACCCAATGAGCGGGTCAAAGTCCAGTTCAGTTTCTACGATGTGGAGATTGTTTGCCATCACCACAACCAGAAGCACATAGGGACCACGTATCCTGTGCTGCTCAGGTACCAGAACCAAGAGTAAACTCACTAGAAAGGCCTCCATACAGTATGACATTTTATAGCTATTGTTGTCCTTTTACCTCAGATAAAGATGCAATAAAGCCTTAAAAGACAGTTCTATTGGTGTTTGTTGTTGTTGTCTATTGTTGCCATCTAGCTAGAAGGTATGTCAGTTAATAAGAGGTGTCTAGAAAGCTAAACATACAAAGAAAATAGATTTACTAGCAATTATTCTTTATTATAATTACAATTGTTAATCAATTTTAATGGCTCTGTGATGGACTAGTCAACTGTCCACACCTTATTACTCCCCCATGTCTGATGACCACTGGCGGTGGCTCCAGGGCCATGAATGTAATTTTTACTAATGTAATTAATCTTCGAGTACAAAGTACCCATATACAAGAATAGTTACTACAAAACCAGTGGAAATGTTCTTGCCTACTTCTGAAGCTTTACTTTTGCAAATAGAAGATTGGATCCTTGCCGTTTACATGATCTATGTGCACTGTACATTGTACAGACAGTACGGGGTTTATTTCCGTCGCTTTCACTGAGTATTTTCACAATTTCAGGATTAATTATTCATGTAACGTAATGACTGATTTTTGTTCACTCTTGTTCCGTTACGTTCCAAAGGGGGCGGTGGTTGGTTTGTTATGGCCATTGACGTCAAGGCCTAGATATGGAAATAGTGCGTCAAGTCGACCATAATATGGAGGCAATCGGCGGCAGGTTTTTAAAAAAATAAAAGTATAATAAAAAAACGTCTATGAGATACAGTACACGTTTATCTGCTTTCTTTTGGATTAGCTGCCTTAATTGTCATTGCGATGACTTATCTAAATTATGGTGTTATTGCCTCAATGCTCTGAAAAACATGCATCAGAAAAATGCATTTGAAGAAACTGAAACCAAAAACAATCATTAAAATTCTCATCTGTTTATATTTTTTTATGATTTTATCATATCACAATTAAATGATATGCCTGTCTATCAATAGACTCTATGGAAGGACTAGACAAAATTAAGTTAATGTGAAAGTAAAATTATGGAAGAACCCTGTACGTAATCTGCTGGTTGGCTCTACATCGCTTCTGAAACCAGAAAAACATTTCCTGTGTCTTACCCGTCAACCACAAACTGTGTTGGTTAGTAGCTTTGGCAGTTATATATAGAGTCACTGTTTTTTGTAAATCTCTTTTCATCCATCAAGTGTAACTGCACTTCTAAGAATGTTCTCAATATTTATGGATTGTTTCCCTTTTGTTTGAAACCTCATGTCTGATGTGTAACCTTTTAAACAACAAAGTGCCAGCAACGATACTAATACTTTCTCTCATTTCTCTAAATATCAGTCATCTACCTTTAAAGGCAGTCAGTGTTAATGTGACTAATGGCTTTGATCCCCCAAAACCAACTATACAGTATAAACTCACTTAAATGAACATTATTAGCTAAATTAGATATATTCTGGCAAACGTAGCTGGTGTCAAGATTGCCGTCATGAACAATTATGCGAACCTTATTTTGAAAAGCAAACAGGAAGTATTCTGATTGATATTGACGAATTCCCTCGCCTCACAGCACTGATTGCAGTCGAAGGTTCCACAGCTGTTTTCTGTGGCCAGCTCAGAGTTTACATTTTGCACTTATTGTTATTTATATGTTGATTTACAAGTCTTCATCCAGCTCTGCGGTGTATTTTATCTATCGTAAAATACGAGCCGTTCAACCAGGAATGGCCGAACCCAGCGCCAGATATCAGCAGGTAGGGCACGACACCGCCGTCATTCACTCATTGTAAGGCAACACACCAAACATTTGGCTATCACGAGGCTTTCTGTCGTTTGGCATTTAAGTTATTTAAAATACACACCCAAGCGTATATGTGTTGTGCTGGTTTTATCTCACGTTCTCTTTGATTATCGTTTAATTTAAGATGGCTCTTATTGATTGCGTCGATGTTTTATTACACAGGTGTTAGCGTGCTAAGCTAATTGCACTGCCACGGACGCTCCCACGTTTAAACTAGGTTGTTGTGAGTTGAGTTAGCTTGGTAAAATAAAACAAAAAAGGCCAGTAGGATCTCAGACGTGACTATCGAAATTGTCAAGAAACGCTATATAAGTCACACAGCCAGGATATCTTTTGGTAACAGCAGCCGGGTGGAAAAAAGGAAAAATTAAATGGTTATCACGAATTCCGTAGAAATAATGGGTTTTCACGAAGAACAACCGCCAAAACTGTCCTGACCATTGTTTGTCTTCCAATGTGACAACAACTGGTGCTCGTATTGACCTGTATTGACAGTATATGATGTTTTAAAGTATTTGGTTCGACCTTCTTTTATTCATTGAGTTTCCGCTTGAGATTTATCTCCATACGTATTTTGCAACGAGATAAAAAGTGTGTACGTGTACCTTTTCAGACTGTGACTGATTTTGTTGTGTTTACATGATTTAACTTTTGCCAGTGACTTGTTAAAAAAACGAAATTGTCAACTAATATATATGGTCTGCATTTCATTGTCATTGTAGAGCAATATAATATAAAACGACATGTTAAATAGCTGAAAAAATTGAGGGCACTTGTATTCAGCAGCAGAAACAGGAGGCCTACTTTATTTACTTTATTTATTACTTCAGTATGTGAAATGTTTTTGTTTGAATAACCTGTGGTCTACAGCAGTGGGGTGTTTGCAGGTACATCTGAGTTCATATTAGGTCTGCACATGATGGTTTATTGTAGTAATAATTAATGTGCAGATGCATTCACCGACTGCTCTGTTATCAAAGCTGTTAGGCTCTGTGGGTGTGGAGAAGTGTGTATTAAAGTCAACCATAAAGTATGTTGTTTTGTTTTTTTCATGCTGTGCTCAGACAATGCCGTCTGTTAGTTCAGACATTAAAACCTAATCCTAAAATGGGTTCAGGAAAAGGGCAGTTAAGGAGGCAATGCTTTTCATGCTACTGTTTTTTTTAAGTAAAGGGTTATCTGATGATACAGTGCACTTTTTTGCTTTTTATTAATTTCCTTGATGCATTATTTAGCACAAGTAAATATTCACTTAACGTCCAGTATTACCAGGAAAGTTTCTAATTATAGATATGTTACACATTTGTTTATCTCATTTATAAGTGTTAATTTGTTCTTTAAGTACACATGTTCAAATTCTAGCTTATAAGCCTTGTCACATGTTGTCATTTACAACTGTTTTCTTTTTTGTGGCGTTTTCTTTCTGCCATTTACGTTCATTGAAATTGTAGGAAACTGTTGCGTCTTAAACATTCCGCTCAAACTAAAAGGAAACTCAAGTCTTGACAACCTGTAATTTATACCCAGTGTTTGTTAGATCGTTTAGTCCAAGTCCTTGTTCCTGTGGCAGAAACAGCAGGGAGATCTAGTTTAAACTGGTTTCATTTGAATCAAGAGCAACTGAAGTATGAACTGCATTCCTCCCTGCCATAGTGCACACACAGGCCAGAGACAAATCTGTGTTGTTGGTCCAGCTTCTGTTTGGTTCCTCTGATGCTGCGTGTTTCAATTCCTTTAACACTGTCACATGACTCTGAGCAGACTCTCAGCCTTTATATGGATTGGAGAAAAGTAATGGAAAATAGCCACTGCTGACAGTTGTGGCAGACCAAATAAACCAGGAAGTGGTTTCCTTCCCTTTTTCCCCAACAGCTGCCTGATGAAGCAGACTTGGAGGAGAGTCCCCAGGTAGCAGCTGACGCTCCGCCTCCGTACAGCAGCATCACAGCTGACAATGCAGGTAACACTCTTGACCTTTCCGGATGATTCATGTCTGCTTTTATCATTCAACTGCAGCCTCTCTGTTACCTGTGTCTTATTTTATTCAACACTCAGTCATTCTTTAACAATGTTTTTTTTTTAATGGGTATTTACCCTCCTGATTAGGTGAATGTGAAAGACATTTACTGTGGTTATAGTGTCATTTTCTCCCCCCCCTTACAGCCTTCTTGGGCTACAAAGAAGACGGTGTTTTCCCCAAGCCTCCATCCTACAACGTAGCAACGACACTTCCTTCCTACGACGAAGCCGAGAGAACTAAGTCTGAGACGACGGTTCCCTTAGTAACTGGAAGAGTGAGCTCTCTTTTCTTCTTTCTTCCCTCACACACACGGACATGGTGTCCTTCAGTTTCATTTACACAGCCTAACCAGAACCTTATTCACGACTCTGACTATAACCAGCTAAGTGGAGTTAAATGCATATATTAGACTCTACATGTATCTCTGACTGAGACAGGAAGTGCTAAACCCTCAACTATGGTGTATTATGTGCTTGTGTGTACTGTACTTATCTGAAGGGCTTTTTAGGTTAAGAAAAAAAATAATTCTAAACCTATTTTTAATATTATTTGATTCTAATTTGTCAAATATTTGAATTATCACTGTCAAATCTTCCTTTTTTGAAACATCAGATGTCAAAGTGATATGGTATTCACCACTAGTCCATTATTCCTCTACTCTGACCCACATCCAAAGTCAGATACCTATCTGACCATGTTTTTCAAAGTAACCTCCGTTCGTCATGTTACAATTTCTCCGACTTTAAATCATTGAAGTGAGACCTTTTTTTTTTGGTAAAACATTTTGACAGTTGATTGTTGTCTGTAAACTCTCGTCACTGTGTGTTGTCCGCTGAGGTCACGGTGTTTGACTTCTTGGTGTTGTGTTTCTCTGCCATTCCCCGCCTCGCGCTCGGCAGCAGCCCCAGCACAGGGAGCGCCTGGAGACTTTTGATGGTGTAATTCGCAGTTCTCTGGAGGTAACTGGGAAGAGTGGGACGAGAGTGTGCACTGGGAGGACGTTGCTCCGTGTGGCGTGTGTAAAACCACTCCCACAGTGTTGTCATGTTCCCCTCCTGTCCCGAGTGTCTGTGTATGCACAGCGCCAGCCAGCGCTGTAGTTTATAGACAAACAGGACGAGCCGGTTCTGTCTGAATATTCTGCATTGTATTTGTCTGACTGCGCACCTTAAAATGAAACCACTGTGTCGTTTGATTGTTTCATTCGTCTGTTGGATGGCTGTGTTGTACTGATCTCCACAAACGTGTTCTCCATTAGAAAGTCCCTGTCAGAGATGAATGAAATTCACTGAGTCACTGTGTTATAATGTTGATGCACAATTATAAATCATTCACTTTAGAACTGAATGTTCAACGTAGATTAATATCAGGACGTTTAAAAAAACTCTGCTTTTTCTTGGTGTTGACTCTGGTGGGGTTTTTTTTTTTCACCACAGGATGAAGACGTTGTGGCCAGAGATGACTTTGAAGACACCGATCAACTGAGGATAGGAAATGATGGCATCTTCATGCTCACCTTTTTCAGTTAGTAACTCTCCCCACACCGTCATTTGGGTTCTCTTTTTATTGTAAAAGTCGGAGTTTACTACATTTTGGAATGAAAATATACTTATTCTTTGTTAACAATTACAAAATGTCAAATATTGACAGCCTCTCACGCCGCTGTCAGCTCCTCTTCCTCTGTGCATTTTATATCTCTGTATCAATCACATTTGCATCATGTTTGAAAGGCTGTTACGCTGCTACTGCTTCTGTAGCTAGCTGGAAATTAGAGATTCCCCTTCCATTAGCTGTACAAGCTAACTGCTAACCAATGTAAAATTACTGGAAGCAATTGATTGATTGTCCTGATGAGCATTTAAGTTTTTTTTCCTCTTCAGTGTTACCATGGTTACCCTTGATACGTTAGGAAAATATAAAGTTACGCACATGAAAAGAAGATGTCTTTGTTTAATGTGCATGTTTGTCCAAACCTTTTTTGTTGTTTTGTTGTTGTTTTTTTTTCTACATTTCTGAACCTCCTTTCTCTCCAGTGGCATTCCTCTTCAACTGGATCGGTTTCTTCCTGTCCTTCTGTCTGACCACCTCTGCTGCTGGACGATACGGTGCCATCTCAGGCTTCGGCCTGTCCCTCATCAAGTGGATCCTTATAGTGCGGGTGCGAGTCCAAACATAAAGACTGAATTAACTAACAGGACTGGAGTAGAACCACTGCAGCCCACGTTCAAACTAACTGAGTATTTCTGCTGACATTCTAGTTTTCCACATACTTCCCCGGTTACTTTGATGGACAGTACTGGCTGTGGTGGGTGTTCCTGGTGCTGGGTAAGTAACTCCACACGTTTTAATAAAGAAAACGAATGGCTCAACAGAGACTGGTGTGATTCTTTATGTCCCTCTGTACTGATGTGTGTGTTGTTTTGGACACAGGTGTGGGTGTTGGGTGATGGTGTTGTAACTTCTCACATGGTGCTTCTTCCCTCTCCAGGCTTTTTGCTCTTTTTCCGGGGATTCATCAATTACGCCAGAATCCGGAAGATGGCCGACACCTTTGCCACTCTTCCTCGTACCCGAGTTCTCTTTATCTACTGAGCTCCTCGTCTTTCTGTCTTTAGTCTCTCTCTCTCTTTTCCTCTCCTTCGGTACGCTTACTCCCAGGCTTTATTAAATCAAAAACAGGACAATATGTCTTTTCTTTCTCTGCTTGACCATGAAGTGGACAGTCGGGCTGTCTGTGCCGCTTCGGTGTACTTTAGTGAAATGCTGAGAATTCTGTAAAAACCTTCAGCTGTTAGTGGTGAATTGTTCAAGTGATTTCTTGCAAATATGAAGTTTGTGATGTATCCATCAATGTCTTATTTACTATTTGACCGTCTGTAGCAGCTGAATTTGCTCTTTTCCTGTTTCGCCATTAGGTGGCAGGCTTGTCTGTAGTCATATTTTCCAACGGTCTTAAACCGGGTGAACTCCAGAAAACAGTAGGTTTTCAGCCAGAGACAGTGGGGGGAATCCGGGTTGTGGGTTTGTTTACACAACGTTAAATAATAAAATGATTACCAGTATCAGGTTAACGATGTTTTTAAAACTTAGTTTGCAACAGTCGTGCTCTGTTTGAAGTAGTAAATCCATGATATTAGGGAAAAATCATAGTTTGGTTTTTTTTCGACGGTCAGGGTCCATTTTCTCATGAAGCATCTATTTTTTTCCCCCCTTGCATCTCATAGTTTTCTATGCACTTTCTCACTGTCATGAGGATTTTCTGTTATGTATTCAAGCACAGGCACAACAGCAGCAGTGTTGTTCCAGATGAGCCACTAGCAGGGCTCCGATGGGATCACTGCCTTGCTCAAGGGCACAAGAATATGAATGAGGTTGACTGTCACTGTATTCTCACATGCAATCACAGATCCCTGATTGGTTTCCATTAAGAGTTTATTCTGAAGTGACGTGAAAGTCCTGGCTTGTGAAGAACAAATTTGATTATATATATATATATAAAACAAATTTATCAAGAGTAATTATTTTGTATGTTTACTGGCATTCTAGATTACGTTGATTTACTTTTATTGCAAAAGTTGTGTACGTATCTGGCTTGAAAAATATTAGAATAAAAGGTTAAAAAAAGAGGCTTCTTTTGGTGGAGAGTTATTGATGTGGTCGTCGACATTGAACTAACAAACAGTACTAACAAAACTGAATGGGTGGAATGAAATCAGCTGCTGTTGGTGAGGATTGTCCTTGGCAAAGTATTTTCAGATCTTTCTTCTCTGGAGAATCTCTCTCAGATCCTTGGGATAGAGCTGTCTTGGTCTGAGTAGTGTTGCTGTGTCAAGAGAAGCATTTGGTTTTGCTGCTTTCTGCTCTGCTTTTGGTCTTATTTTTTCTCATTCGTTATTTCTAGATACACTGGTCTTTTTCCTGCTTCTTGTGTGTTTTACCGTTGCTTGGTTTGACTTATGCATGGCAGTAGAGAACATCTGTTTAATTGACAGATATGTGGTTCTATTCATATAAACTCAATAATTCTTCCCACCGCAGTGCTTGTTATGAGATTTGATAAATTCTTATGATTTTCCCCTGGCTTTGTGAGGATCAAAAAGTCTGAACTTTTATTTATTTATTGTTTTGCTTTTGCAAGTCACTAACAGCCTAACCATTTGTTTTGTGAAAAATAATTCTGTTTTTGTGAGTTTTTTTTCTTCTACAAGTGCTACACACTTGATGCTATGTTGACTTGATCATGAGATATGTTTTTGGAGGTTTTCACTTCATTCATCAGTCGGACACAGAGGGAGGAAGAGGAAGCTTTGCTGACCGTGATTCTCACTCACTGAGGTGAGACATACATTTAGCCGTGCTAATCTTAGCGCACAGGATGTGTGCACAAGTCATGATGAGGCGCTGACAGTGGCTAATTATACATGTGAGGGCAGTGTTTTTCCTTGTTGTTGGGACAGGAAAGTAAAGGTCACACCACCTGGAAGACGTGTCCAACTACCACCCACTGTAGGGTTGGGTTTCACAGGAAACTCTCCGTCATCCGCCAGGAGTCCCCTTCTCACTTGAGCCGAATAGTGGCCTCTTGTGGCGCTTAGCAGAAGTACAGCTGACCATACAGGTCACTGATGAAAATGTCACTCTCCATTTACCAGTAATAATTATTTTGCCACCTGTGAACTTAAGAACAAGAGATGGAACCTCGGTGAAGTCCAGTGGAGAATTGTTTTGCTCATATTTGTGTTCATATTTACAGTCATGTCCAGCCCTCTGCTGGAAGGCTAGGTATCGTTTTAATGAAAAAAGTACGAATCCCACAAACATGCACAGTGAAAAGCAACATTTTTTTGACATTTTTATGATTATTTTCCATATTTACAAACAATAGATGGCTTTTGTTCCAGTTCGGGCTGCAGCACCGCTGGAACGTCCTGCAAATTAAATTTCCTGAAGTAATTTCTTCTGCAGTGTGCCCTTTGGAAAAACTAAAACAGCTGTCAGTAAAAATGTACAGATGTTCAGTAGCTCTGGGCTGGAAATGTGCACTTTGAAAATGTGAACTTTGAAAAGTCACCACTGGAATATATTTAGATTGTGTTTTCCTTTTAAATACGATCAAAGATAAATTCGAGGAAAGTCGGCGCACCTCAAAAATGCCAAACAAATAAATGTCTGGAGTTTGGTCTTTCACTTCAACTTTTCTGGAGCACATTTGAGGATTTTTGACGACAGTATGTTTGATTTAGCAAAATGTAGCCTGGAGCTGCATTAGAATGACAGAGACAATGCAGGAATGAGAACATTAAAGTGGTAAAATAATTAGGGATTGAGGAGAATGTACAAAAGGAGCATCCTCCAAAGGTGTTGGTCTGTGCAGGAAGGAGGGTTTGTGGCTAACAGAGCTAAGGAAGTTTTCAGTTCAGAAACAACAGTGCAGTATATATAGAGTATATAATACCATGAGAATACTGTGGTTTCAGGTAAAATTCCCTGTGTGTAGAGGGAGAAGATTCCTGTAGCAGATTTTAGCTAGCCTGTGGTTTAGTTGCAACTAGATGAGACTTTCTATCAGAGGATTGCAGGTTCAAATCCCTCCTTGTCTGACCCCATAAATGACCTGTTACCGCTGATGACCGGTTCAAGATGTTTGTCCAAGAATGGTAGAACATTTGGCTTGTAAAAACTACACTGGCAAGTGTGTGAAAGGTTCTCAACATGTGGGCCTGTCATGAACCTCTGAAACCGTCCAGTGACAGCTGGGATTGGCTTCAGCTCCCCCGTGTCTCCCAGTGTAGGGATTGTAATTGTATTAAACTGACGGCAGAGACTGGACGGTAGAGGACGTCCTCATCACTGGAGGACTCCGGACAAGCTGTCTTGACTTTACCAGGTGCAGATGAGGTTAAGTGATGGCCGTCTTTCAGCTGTAAATCCTGGCACTCTTTCACGTCTCACACAGATTCGGCCTCCGCGCTCTCAAAACCCTGCACATCACGTCATCTCTCCTCCACTGCTGCTGCAGCGGCGGCGGCGGGGTCAACCGGTGCAGGTGTTCCTCTTCTCCAGATGTCATTCATGAAACAACCTCATTGTGCCAAGAGCTGTCTGTGTCTCATCAGCTGTCCCCGATTTACAGAGATGGAGCCTTTCCTCGGGGTAATTGATGGGAATTATGTGTGCTTTCCAAGTGCCTGCGCTGCTTGTATGTTTTGACTATCTAAAGATAAGAGGAGATGTTGATTTTGATTTACAGAGACGCTGGGTACGAGCCATCTTTCCAAACAGACGTGCTTTTACGTCTGCTGGCAGCCAGATAGAGACGTGGACTTTTGTCTTAAACAGTGACTTTAACTTCCTAGCTTAAACTTTCCACCTCAGATTTGAATCATTCTTTAATATCTGATTTGCACAAGCATACGGCAGTCTGGCCTGAAGGACACGGTGTTCTGCTGTTTTATATTTGGCCTCTTTTCTTTGGACAGACCACCTGGTTCAGTATGTAGCTATTTTACAGATGAGCTGTAGCTGCTGCTGCATCCTTATATCTAAAAACAAACCCTAAAAACAAACCCTAGTTTTTGCTAAATATTTAAACAAATTGTATTTTGTATTTTGATTTTTTTCAGTAAAATATGACTGTAATCGAACTAACCATTAGTTATGTCCTGACTTTTTACATACATACATTCTTTAGGTTGTCCTTTAGCATGTTTGTGTTAGCATTTTTAAAATTATTTTTACATTTACCTATAAATTATATATCTGTTTGTGGCCTCCTTCAACTGGACATGTTTTAATTGTAGTTTGACAGAGCTGAGGAATATTTCTAAATACCTTTAGCCATTCTCAAATGTTAATTTCTTTTGCATTTGTATCAAGGTTTTCTTTTTTTTTTGTTTAAGATTATGTGAAGACAGAAACAAACATAGAAAAGCGTGATGTAGACAGTCTCCTCCGTGTGGAAACGCTGTAGCTTCAACTGTTTGTAGTGAAGGCCAGAGCGGCTTCCACATATGAACTTTCTCACAATCTGACGGCGCCAGTGTTTATTTGAAATGTCTTGGCAGAGAATCCTCCTCACCTTAGACAAACTGTGTCTGGTCAGAGCCGGCTGCTGTCAGTCTGCGTTTCAGATGGGAGGTTACCCAGGATGTGGGGAGGATGTGGGTTGCATCCAAATGATATGTCCTTCTTTAGCCCCCCCCCCCCCCCCCCCGCGTCCTCCCCCCCCTCCCTCTCTCTCTCTCTCTCTCTCTCTCTCTGTCTGTCTGTCAGCCTCTATGTACTGGCTTTTGTTTTTCTCTTTAGAATATTTTATTCTGAAAAATACTGACTTTATCAGGACGAAGGTCCTTAAAGGGGCCGCAGCCCGAGTCAAAATTGAAACGTTCATAGTTAATTGGTTTAGTATTAAGGTGAAGTGATAGGAGGGTTAGGAGGTTATGGTCGCTGTATATATGGTATGGTGCACTGTGTATACGTGCGTTCTTGCTGGAGCTATTTTTGGAAAAATACTATTGTTGTGGTGAGACGTTGTCCTTGAGGTTCCAGTTAGAGTCAAAATAGAGCTGGAGTGAAGACAGACAAGTGTATATTTATAATTGTAGTTGTTCATGAACTGCATTATGTCTGTGTAATGTGCTCACAAAAAGCTAAAATCTGTGTGTGTGTGTGTGTTAGCTAGAGAGAAAGAAAGAAAGAAAGAAAGTGAGTTTAAGGACAGGGAGGGGTGTTATCATTGATGTGTGAGTCATCCTGATGCTCCCCTCCTCTTTCCACACCGCATGTGTGTGTGTGCTTGTGTGTTTGTGCGGCACACAAGTTTCTACCCATGCACTTGTTTCAATACATTTCGACACATGGTAAACGTATTCAGGTAGTGAACCTTGGCCAGTCCGTTGGCTGGTTTGAAAACAGCATCGTCTCAAACAGAACCATTGAGTTCTGCTGCCACAACACGTGCTACACTATGACGTGTGAACGTCGACATGCTGTTCATGAAAAAAAAAAAAAAATCTTTGTCTTCCTGTAAGTGTGTGTGGTGTAAAGTGCGAGCATCTCTGGCTGTTTTGTCTGAGTGTGTGTGTGTGTGTGTGTGTGTGTGTGCTGGAGACAGGAAGGCTGGTAAAGCAGTGGTGAGTCATCCACAGGCCAGCGTTGGTTGTTACCATGGGTCACACACAGCAGGTACCCGTGTGCCCCATATACTCCTTTTTTTTTCTTACCCACCTCTCTTCCTTATCCTCTTCCTCCTCTCCCACCCCCTCCTCCTCCATCGCCGTCTCCTCCTCCTCCTCTTCCTCCTCTTCTTTTTTTCCTCTCTGACTCACAGATGACTCCTCCAGCGGCAGCGCCAATGACATCACCGCCCCCTCCCCACCACCATGTTGTGGTGAATCATACTGTACATTGAGATTTTCTTCGCTCACGTCTCCAGTCGAGCAGCGGTGCGAACCTGAATGTCAGCCCATCACTTCACAAATCACACTTGAGACGCCGACTGACGACTGTCAGCTGCTGATGTCATCAATGATAACAGAGATATATACGTGATCAAGGAAGGCGCACGGCGACGTGTGGACGTCACCTAGAGGCAGTCGGGTGACGTCCACAAACATTTGACCAAA